GGGGAAACAAAAAAAATCCTACAAGCCTCTATAGGCAACACAATAGCAGACATATGTTGTAGCAATATCTTTACCGACACAGTTCCTAGGGCAATGGAGACTAAGGAGAAAATAAACACAGGGGACTACATCAAAATAAAAAGCTTCTGCACAGCAAAGGAAACCATCAACAAAGTAACAAGAAAGCCCACTGCATGAGAACATAGTTACCAATGTTATCTCCGATAAGGGTTTAATCTCCTAAATTTACAGAGAACTCATACAACTTAACAAAAGGAAGAGAAACGATCCTATCGAAAAATTGTCAAAGGATCTAAATAGACATTTTTTGAAAGAGGACATACAGAAAGCCCAGAGACATATGAAAATATGCTCAAAGTCACTAATCATCCGAGAGATGCAAATTAAAACAACAGTGAGATACCATCTCATACCTGTCAGAATGGCTATCATCAACAAATCAACAAACGACAAGTGCTGGTGAGGATGTGGAGAAAAAGGAACCCTCCTTCACTGCTGGTGGAAATGCAGACTGGTGCAGCCACTGTGGAGAACAGTATGGCATTTCCTGAAAAAGTTAAAAATGAAACTCCCATTTGACCCAGTGATGCCACTTCTAAGACTACATACCAAGAAAGCAGAAACACCAATCAGAAAGGATATATGCACCCATATGTTCATAGCAGCACAATTTACAATAGCTAAGATTTGGAAACAGCCTAAGTGCCCATCAGCAGATGAGTGGATTAAAAAACTGTGGTACAATCTACACAATGGAATACTATGCAGCATTTAAAAAGAAGGGACTGTTACCATTTGCAACAGCATGGATGGAACTGGAGAGCATTATGCTAAGCGAAATAAGCCAGTTGGAGAAAGATAAATATCATATGCTCTCACTCATATGTGGGATATAATTAATGATCAACATAATTTGATGAACAAGAATAGATTGATCCAGAGACAAATAGTAGGGGAGAGAGGGGTTAGAGAGCAGCCAAAGGACTTGTATGCATGCATATTAGCATAACCAATGGACACAGACACTGGGGCAGTGGGGGCATGCCCGAGCTGAAAAAGGATGGGGGAGGGGGTCAATTGGGGAAAAAGGAGACATATGTAAAACTTTAGACAATAAAAAACAAACAAACGAAAAACCTTCTCATAAGCTGTTTTGTTTATGTCATATACTGTTTTTTATCCTTCTATTAATGCTGGGAGAGAATGTCATTGTCCTCATCTTACATAGGAGGACACTCATGTCCCCAGAGGTGAACTGGGAGTGAGGAGCAGCGCCAACAAGCAATTCCAGGCCTGCGTTCAAAGTCCAACTTTTTCCCTCCAGATGATTTCCCACAGTCTGGGCCCAGGGACAGAATTCCTGGTCAGTCACATTTTTGTGCACTGGCTGTTCATAGCTGGTCTACAATCCTTACAGACTTATGAATGGAGCCATGATTATCTTCTTCATCAAGTGGGGAAACTGAGGACTTGGGGGAGACAGAGACTTGCCCAGAGCACACAGCCGTGGGATGACAATGCCGTGGCTCAGTGAGGGTCTGTCCTCTCAACGGGCTCACCTGGAAACATTCTAAAAAGGCAGATTTGATTATATCATCAGTATTTGATTAATCAGAGATTTTATTAGTATTATGTTATTCTACACAACTTCTGCAGGTGAGAAGCCGAGGCCCAGCTAAGTTAACTAGGTCATGACACTGAAATAACACCTTGATTTGGGCGTGCAACTCTGTGCTGGGTGATTCAGACAGAGCACCTCAAATCCTTTCAACTCTCCTAAAAGGAGCCCATGATCATCACCATTTAAGAGATGAGAAAATTAAAACTGAGAGAAATGAAGGGACTGTGCCCTCACCCGCTACTGTCCCCAGAAGTATTTCCTGTGGCCTCCCAGGTATTCACATCCATCAGCAGCGCCAGTGCCCACCTTCAGGAGCCTGACCCTGACCGCCACCTGCTCCAGGGAGGAGTGCCCTCCAGTGCCCAGGCCGGGCCTGCTCCTAGGAATAGTTTCAGGCCTTATCATGGGACATTTGAGGATCTGTCTCATCTCAGTTGGAAAGCTAGACCTGCCTCCCCTGAGGACCTTTTTTAAAATGTTTTTTTTTTCTCTGAAGAACATAAAAATGCATGATTGTAAGAAAAGGGTTGGAGCTTTCTCCACACATTGAGAAGCACAGTGTAGGACTGTGGCGAGCAGGGGCTTTGAGTTATGCTATTGAGGATCGAATCTTAGTTCCCCTTCCTGCTCAGTTCAGGTTTCCTCTCTGAGCATCAGTGTCCTCATCTAACAAAGGGACAACTATGGCCCCTCCCTCGCAGCACTGGCTGTAGGAGTAATGCTGTCATGAAGACATGACTCCTGACTTTCCCACTGCTGCTTGTCAGCCAGGGCATCACCTGGGAAAATAGCTCAGGGAAGGAGCAGGAGCTCTCTACCAGGAGGCAGCAGATCTGAGTGGAGATGGAGCCACTTATACCTGTGATGGCCTAGGCAAGGGACACACTGTTGGAAACTGTTGTAATACCTGGAAATTCGGGATAAAGGCACCCTCCCTGCCTGTGTCCAAGAGTTGTGGGGGGACTCCATTGCTACCGTATCTAGGAGGGAAATTTGGCAAGAACCACACAAATTAAAATGCAAACACCCTGTGACCTAGCAATGCCACTTCCAGTGGACACATCCCTCTTGAACAGAGTGACACATAAACAAGGGTATCCCGTGTCACTGTGTGAATCGCCCAAGGCTCAGAACAACTCACATCCATCAACAGAAGACAGTGAATGAATGATGCTGTCTCCACAGGCTGGAGGGGAGGCAGCTGTTGAAGAAGGGGCAGCTCTAGGTGCTGATGTGGATGCTCGATTAGGGTGATGTGGCTGAAGGCAGGGAGATGTTCCCAATCACCTGGGCCTCAAAATCTGAGTGTGAGGGGCATTTGAAGCTTTGGGTACCCGTGAACATAAGAGGTGCTGGCTCCCTGTTCAATGGTGTGCTGGAATGAGCTTTATTCAGTGCCTGCATTCACCAGGTTTTTCATGAAAGAGCATCTGTCTTTGAAGCAGGAAAGAGCCGCTAAAATCAGATGGAGTTCTGGAACATTCTCCTCACTCATTGGCCATGTGACTTTGGGCAAATCCCTGTAACCTTTTGACTTCTGGCGCCTCTCTATACATGGGAGTCAGGCTGGATGGTCTGAAGGTCCCTGCGTGCTCACATTCCAAAATTCAGGATCGTGGGCCTCTGGTAAAACACCCTCAATGAGAACAGTGTTGCCTCAGTGGAACGACCCCTAAGGCTCCCACATGTGGAGCCTCTTCCATGGGTGAGGGACATTCTGAGACGACTCAACTCTGCTTGGAGGCTTCATGACAGCGACTGGGATTCTGGAATAAAGGGGGTTTCCAGGCAGACCCACAGTGATCGCCCACTTCTGGCCATCTCCTCCCAGCGGGGCTGTCAGAGTGAACAGTGAGTCTGGACCTTTCAGGATATCCTTCTCTTGTGATGTTTCTGAGGTTTAGATAAAGCAGCACTTTCTCTACTCCCTGCCCTCAGTGAGTTTCTCCCACTGGAGAGAAGAGAACGAAGCTTCAAGGGGAAGAGCCGTTGCCTGCTTTGTTCTGCCGCTGCCTCAGCACCCAGCGCAGAGCCTGGCTCACAGCAGGTGCCCAGTGGGTGTCACTAAGGAGGAGCCTCGGCCACATTGAGGGGAGCACTCCCTTGAGGTGGGTGAAGTCTGGCCTTGTGATGGGCAAGTCACTCAGCCTGTAAGTTCCCTCATCCCTGCAACCAAAGGTCTGGACAGGATTAAAAGGCCAGGAATGGGGAGCCAGTCAAGCAGAGGTTCCAGACTTTTCCCACCACTGACCAACCATGGTGGCTGAGCAAATAGCATGACATCTCCAGACCTCAGCTTACCTGATCTGCAGACGGGGTGAAATCAGACCATGAATCAGATCATGACTGTAAGCACCCACCTGACACTTATTTGTTACTCAAAGATGGAAGTCGTTCTTATTGACTTGTCACACATGAGGTACAAAGTATCCCCCCTGTACTCACCACTCACAGTGAGCTGAGTGCCTGCTCCAGACTTGAACTCCGTGTCATCACCACCTCCTCTCCGGAACTTCACACAGTAGTAGGTTCCCGTGTCTGCTGGGGTGATGTTACTGATGCGGATGGAAAAGTCCATGTTGTCTCTCCTCGTGGTGTCTGCAACATTTGTTACTCGGGGGAAGTGGCCTCTTCTGAGACTGTAGATTAACTCCCGGCCTGTCCCTGTCCCTCTGAACCACTGGATGTACCCCACGGGTAAAAAGGAGGTCACGGTGCAGCTCAGAGTGGCTGTCTC